TTATACCACCATGTTTAGCAAAATTCCTGTAAGGCAAGTGAAATAATTATCACAAAGAGCTTGGTAACAGCATGATCCTAGGTCTTAAATACGCCTCAGAGACCAAGGTGATTACTCTGTTTCAGTTTCTTGCTGACTGTTCACATCTTCAAACTACCTCTGAACATTTGCTAGTGATGAAGTAGAAGTTCAGCGAACACGGAGGTGGACAGAACCCGATTTCTTCGTGCTGAAGCTCACAGTCTTCCCTGCTTCATTTTGTGAAGGGTTTTCATTTCCTTCCAGCACCTACCAGACAATGACAACGCAGCCGGACGTCCCAGCGTTTGCATCTCTGGAAGCACTACTGATTCTCATGGCAGAGAAGAATCCGAGAGAATTTGTATTAGGACATATGGGAATACTAATGGGTGAAGGAAACCACAGCAGTCACTCCTGCCTGGACAGCTGAGTGCAGTGCAGGTCGGGAGGGAAAACAAGGCTTTAGCCTGCCTGGGTCAAACCAGAACCTGACAAGCAGCACTGGAGTATTCAGGTGCTTCCTGCACTCAGGCACCAGACAGTGGTACAGCAGAGCCAAAGGCGTAGGCCAGCCTCCCCCGGAGCGGCTTCTTTTTATCTCTGTTTCATGCTTGCACTAAAAAATCTCTTAATTTCAATACACTTTCAATATGTGGTTCATACCAGCAGTTTAAATTATATTATTCAGTGTACTCAGCTGAGAAATCTCCTGCTTGATTATAGTAGTAGTTTACTCATCTATATAATTCTTTGTAAATGTTACACAAGCCAGTATACAAAAATACAAACCCCACAGATAGTTACTGTGGCTGTGAGTGAGACTGTACCTGTCTGCGTATTTTATAAAATAGACTTTTGTAGAGAAATTATAGTTTATACATCACACCAGAATATGGCCTACTATTAAACAAGCACAGTGCCTGTAATCAGATGTAATTGCTTGTGCAGTGAGGTCCTTAACTCATGGCTGATTTCCAGCATTGGCAATTTGCAAAACTAGTTGGTTTATTTGTTTCTTCACTGATGGCTTAAACCTCTGGCATGTTCACTCCTCAGGGATTTTTTCTGATGGTGTTGTAATTCACATGTGTCTGCTCTCCCTGTAGGACAGAGACCAAACCAGCTAGAGCAATCCCAGTACATTTCATCTACAGCCACTAGCTGTGATGCTGATTGATGGCTTCTGCTTACCAGCCCGAGTGCTGATTTAACCCCTCTCCTCTCTGGGGCACCCAGACCTCTTTTCAGCCTTAGATTCCTCTCCCAGTCTTATACCTCCAGCCTAGCTCTCTGTCTGTCTTTGAGATGCTCACTCATTCTTGCTTTACAGGATTTGCACATTAGAAAATAGAAGAACGAGCTCATACAAGCTGCAGTACCTATGTGGGGTGTGAGTGGTATGTATGCAGAACATGGTGGAAGTTTGCCTGCAGGAGGCTGCAGTCAATGTCCCAGGGCACTTCTTGTCCTGTTGTCCCACTGTATCCTCCACCTTTCATTTATCTTCTCTTCCTCGTCTCTTCCTATGCAGTTTCCGCAGTCACCACTTCCCATCACTGTCCAGGTTGTAAAGGCACTGGGCAGGGAAGGCATCTTTGTATTTCTGCACTGCATTTAGTGCGGTGACCTTAGAGGTGCTGTGTAAACAGGCAGGTTAAATAATACTGAAATGCACGGTATAGTTAGTGTTGCAGGAATAGGAGATACAGAACTTAGTAGAGAAAGTATTTAACCCAGAGCCTTGTCCAGAAGCTCGTTAGAGCAATTACCTCCCCAGGGCTAACAAGTGGCACAGCTGGAGCTGGTCTGTGGGTCGCTTGGCCACTGGCCCTCCATGCTGGTGCAGTCATCTCCGTAAGAAGTGATGTGCCACTTGGAGTTGAAAGCTTAGAGCACAAGAGGTGACACTTGAGCAGACAAGGTTTTCTGCAGAGTGCAGAATAAACTGGCTACCGAGTTCCTATCTTTGCTGTGATTTTTCCAAGAGAATAGCTGTCTGTGGTCAAGCTTTGGCTTGTCCCATGTTGTCATTCCAGGAATGTCTGAGCCGTTTCTTATTTTAGAAACAGACACTAATTAAGACTCATGATATCCCCTGAAGTCTTCATGTTGGAAGCCTTCATGGTAGACCTCTGTATAAGGTTAGTCATCAAACCCCATCTGATATTTCACTACAGAAAAAGAAAGAGATCTGCCTAACGAGGAGCAAAGGTTGTAAGCACCGTTCACAGCCTGCCTGACACATTTGTTAGGTCCTGCTGCTGGTGAGAAGGGACAGGCTGGATCTTGAGTCTTTGCTTGCACCAGCAGCAAAATGCAGTTGTGTTCCTGAATGTGTTTGTAATTCCTTTCTCTGTGGTAATAAAATACCAGCATCTTTTTTTTTCCTGGCTGTTTGTTGTATCTTACTTCTAAAAAAATTCTCCCCCACATATTAATTTGTCTCACCCTTTTATCTTCCCACATGTTGCCAGCTGGTTCTTCCTGTTTCCCTTTTTTTGAAATTCATTTAGAGGTTCTTTATTTAGCATTTTCTCTGGGAATTGTTTTCCTCCTCCAGAAGGGTGTGTCAGGTCCAGCAGAGCCTTGCTTTCAAAATTACTACTTCAGTATTATTAGGGAAAACTTGTTGTTCTTGATTTTATCCTCTTACTGCACATTCACAATAACTCAAAGGTGTTGTGTGTTGTATTATGTTATGTTATATTAATTATATTAGCAGACACCTACTTTAATGAAAACTCGATTTTCGCTCAGAAGTGTCTTTCAATAGAAGACAGTCAGACTGCCTTGAAAGTCCTTCCCTGCATTCTGTCCAGCCCCCTTGACTGTTTCTGTCCTCATCAGCTCCTACTTCATGCTTCCTCCTCCAGCAGCGAATGTCCCTTTCCGCAGCATCGGCTGGGGGCCTCCCCCTTCCCTCCTCCC